TTTTTTTTTTCTCAGCACACTACTGAAGTCTAAAGCTTAGGTGATTTATTGCATCTGCACTTGTTATTGTATGCAATAAATTTATTATCCACGTGAGCGCACGTAAACTTTACTAGTACTATAAAATATTTAATGTCAGTAAAAAAACAAAAAGTTACTTGGAAAAAAAACACACACACAGAGATGATGGGAATTTTCTCAAATTGAATCACCATGCCTTATTAATTGAATTTGTCTAGAAAATTCTATAAGAAACAAGCTTCATACTACACAAATTCTTATATAAAACTGATATACTGGCAACATCAAACCCAGATTTAAGAACCACAGAGCCAGCCCAAATCTTTTCCCACAAACATACATACAAGACAATCTCAATACTTCATAAACCAAGAAAAAGACATGAGATAAATTAATGTATATCTTTCACAAATCTATACCACCCCCATCAAATGCAGGACCACCCTCAGCGCCAAGCAGACGCCGACACCAAATTCCTCTCCTTCCACCCCAACAGCATAGCCCCATCCTTCTCCACCAGGGTGTAATGCTCCGAGTAACACCTCAGCAAACCCCTAATCACCGAGTTCACGTAAGAGCTCAGCGGAAACTGCTGGAACCCCGCCATCATGAGCCTCAGCCTCCACTTCCCAAACAGCTCATGCCTCTCGACCCTCTCCTTCCCCTCACACGCCACAATGTTCACTATATCCCTCGCCAGGCACTGCTGCTCCACGTTTATCCTCTCCTTACTATCACGCGCCATCGTAACATCGATCGACTCGAACATGGCCGAGTAATAATCCAACGTCTCCACAAACCTCGGCAAGAACGGTGCCGTGTTCGTGTTTGACTCCTGCTCGACCAGAGTCACCACTCTCGGCGACAGCGACTTCACCATTCGTAAAAGCCCGTCTCTCGGGTTCGACACGTCCACGCTCTCGTCCGGCGTGTGGTGCAGCTGCAGCGGGAAATTCACCGCCAGGGCCTCACCGGGCCTAACGTCGAGCACGGCCCGCGTCACGTCCGAGGCGAAAACAGGAACCGGGAGGAACTCGACCGGGATCCCAAACTTCTCGGAGACTGCCCCCAGGCGCCGCCCGACAGCCGCCAGCCCGTCCCCACGTGCGTACTTCGAGACAGGGTCGTCAATCCCAGTGATTCGGACCCGAGGCGGGCCACCGGGTCGGGCCGCGAGGGCTTGAAGCAGAGTTATCCACTGTGTCCCCTGCGCGATCTGGAAATCGACTATGTGGATTCTGTCTGCACCCTTGCAGGCTTCGGCTATGGCTCCGTTAGCAGCCATGTACCCGAATTTCAGGTATGGGCAGACCTCGTACAGGATGTGCATGTACGAGAGAAGGTCCTTGCTGTCTGGCTGGTTGCATTTGAGGGCCCGGTATATATTAGTCCCGGACGACTCCCTGCGTGCGACTAGGCTCTCGACTAGGTAAGCTCCCAGGCGCTGGATTGGCTCCCCGCTGATGGACACGGACGAGCGAGCCCGCTCGACCAGCCGCTCGAATTCGTCGAGATTGTTCTCGTAGAGGGCCCGCGCGCATGCAATCAAGAGCTGTTTGAGGTTGTTCGGAGGAACCATCTCGACGCGGACTTGATTGAAAGAGGTGCTGCCATGTTGAGATTCACAGGGTGATTCAGATTGACGGGAGTGGGACCCATATGAGGTTTCGCGGGCCCATGTTCGTGAAGGCCCCCCGCCGGGTGTTTGAGATGGAGACTGTCTGCTTTCACCTAGAAATGGGTCTGATGTTGTAGTCATGTCTTCTTCTGCATCCGGAGCCATAAGGACATTTTCCAGTTCGAGGAGACGGGTTCTTATGTTCTGATTGGTGTTTTCATTTGGGAGGTAATACAGGGAAGAGTTACAGGAAGGAGTGGCAGTGGAAAGATTGTCGGCCGAACTTTGGTGCTCAAATGTGTCAGCCAATACAGTGAGAGTGTCGGTCTCGAAATGGGTGGAAAAGGGTGAATTCGGCGAGTTTCTAAAACCGAATTTTAAGGATTCGGAGAGCCTTGTGGGTATGGAGGAGAATGTAGGATGTGAAGAGTAGGATAAATCGGTACCTGTGACACTATATTCAAAATAACGAGAGTCCATACTATACGCCGAGCATCGACTGTTCTCGGTTAGCAAGTTCTTGGTCTTTGACTAAATGTTCCTCTGGTCTGTATATGTAATAAAAAATATCACAACCTGCAGAATAGAAAGGATGGATGGTAAACTAACAAGCAATAACAGAATCTGTGATTCTTAATTAAGCAAAAGGTATTATTGTTTGTATTCCGACATTAATTTGTGTTTATGGAACGAGGATATATAGCATCATACACACGATGCATTGCCAACATGACACAGTTATGTGCAACATATGTTGGACTTCAATCCTCACAACACAAATTGCACAACAAACGAAGTTCTCAAGCATTTTAAACCAGTCGTTCGTGCAGCGTGGTCATCTGATTAGAAATTCTTACAAACTCATTTTCTACAGGTGAACTATATAATTGTATCAACAACATAACAGAACAAGCACAATAGAGACATACATGAAACAGAATGTCCCAAGAACAATAAGCCCTAAATTCTTCATGAACTGCTAGTTCTGTAGTTCATCCTAAGAACCACCACGAATCAACAGCTAATCAAAATCATCATAAAGGACATACATCAAAGGAATGAAAATATTATTGCACTTCATACCATTTTCAGACAACATAAAGATTAACAGCAAGTTCGATACTGCCTCGGTTTTTTCCTATTCACTTGCAAACTTGGAACTTGTAACAACTCAATAAGAGCCATCATTCTCATAAATATTGCAAATGAGAAAAAAAAAAAAAATGAAATTATTGTCCAAATTTCTCTCAACTTGGCAAAAAATCAACCCGTTGAGTCTTCGCTACTCTAAAGTCTACTTAATAATTGAAAAATGCGAAGAAAACAACAATGGCACGAAGTCAATGAAACGCCCCAAATAAGCAAATCTAGCTTCAAATTTTCAACAACCACCACAAAACAAAATCTAAGGAAGTAATTATTAAAATAAACAAAAGATTCAACCATTCGAACAAAACCCAGAAACTGAAACATGTCCGAAAAAGATGTGTACCTGAAATTTTTTTACAGACGGCACAAAAACTCCAGGAACTTCCAGTAAAGATAAGGAAAAATCGATTTTTATTTTTTTTTAAGGCCTGCAAAATGTAAGAAAATGGATCTTTTCGGCCCGAGTCGAAAGAATAAGGGAATGAATGCTGGTGAATATATATATAGAGAGAGAGAGAGGTAGCCAACCCTGCCACAGTGAAAAGGATGATGGGAGGAAACTTTGGTGAGGTTAACGGTAACGGCGACGGTAATGGTGGGTTTGACTACTTGACTACCCGTGTACGGTTTTGAAATTGTTGACGACAGCTATGACGGTTCGTGTAACGGTTATAGAATCTTCGACGACCACACGTTTGATGTGTGTTCTCGGCTGTTCCCAGCTCAGATTTGGTTTTGTTTCGAGGTAACGAGGTTAACATACTGTGCTGAGGGAGAGGGGGAATCTTGATAGTTTGAGCTTGATAAGGCCCCCCCTTTTTTCTTAATAAATATTAGTAAGTAGCCAAATAAAATTTTGATCGAAAATGTTAAGTTGTTATTGGAATTGAGTTGTTTCCTAACATAGTTCGATTCAACTTGTGAAATTCCAGCTCGACTCGCTTATATATTTAAACGATCCAAACTCAAAAATCTAATCAGGTTTATCTAGCAAACACGTCATACTAATATTTATTTGATTATAGAATACATATTTATTCATTTATATAGGAAAAAATAAAAAAATTTATTAAGTATTGTTCACCATATGATACTCAATTATTAATTTATTATAAAATTTACAGTCATTTACAGTCATATAATGTAATTATTATTATTTATAAAAGTTATAGAAGTAGTCTTCTTTATGTAATGAAATTCAAAATAAAATTTTGAGTATAAATGTTTACAAAATACACACACGTGTTTTTTAGAATTCAATTTTCTCATAATAATTCTTTTTTTTAAATGATTTAGCAATTGCCAAAAAATAAATTTCTTACATAATCAAGAGATTTTTTTTCTAATTTTCATCTTAAGGCTTTATAGTTTATTTAACATACTATGCAATAGAAAAGTATTTTACAATAAGTTCATTTTTTAAACATAACAAAAAAAAGTGATAAAAACACTATCATAGTTGACAATAATATACAAATAAATAACATGTCTAAATTTCAAAGAATAACTATAATTTTATTATCTAACCATCAATAAAATCATTTAATGATGTGATCATTATCTTTTAAATAATAAATAATATTAATTTTTTTAAAAAATATTAATGTTATATAATTAAATAAAGGTTAAAAAATATTACTCGACAAATATTAATTATAATGGATATCAGTAAAATCATTGCATAAATTATTTAAAGAAAAAATCTTGAAGATCATATTTGGATAGTAAATGTAAATATGCAAGCATTTAATGCATATAGTAAAAAAATTCCAAATAAAGTATGCATTAAATGTGTGTTGACTTTTATTGCAACTGTTTTTTGTAAATAGGTTGGGTTTTAATATATATATATATATAATAATTACTAGTAGTAATAAATTAACTAATTATAACTCATATGCACGATATTGAGTACCAATCACAAATTAACTAGTTATAACTCAACAATTAATTTTTTTACATTGTAATGATTTTAGTTAGATTTTAGACACAGTTTGATATTTTTCTGAATTTCATACCAACACTAGTGGTTATAACTAATTATTTGGCAGATATTGTTATTTATGTTTTTATATGTTTACTATTATAATTAGCTATGCAATTGGCAACTTGTAACAACCATATTAGGGTCCATAGCCAATGGCCAACGGCGTCAACCTCAGGAACGTTTGACGGGTCAAAGCAGTATGCCAAAATCAATTGGCGATGCAGCGCACGCGCTGGGGACGAGGTTGTGTAGTCCGACCCTCGGTGAGACGCAGGTTCGGACAGCGTGGCGCCTCAGGCCCGCAAACCGAGACGAACAATTGGGGTTTAAACTCTTAAAGTTACGATCACGTGACAACAACGTGACGCTTGGGGAGCCAAGCGTACGCATCAGTTGACGGGTGTAATATTCTGACCTTTAAAAATAATTAAAAATGAAAAGGTTTAATTAATACTAACACGTGGACTGATTTCGCCTCGTCGTTTCTGACTTGTTTCACCTGACCTGGCAACGCGGTATGACTGACCGTCTAACTCACAGCCCACAGGCCACAGGCTTTGAACCTTTGACATACCAAGAGTGGGCCCACTCAGTGGGAAACCATTCAGCTAATAATCTATATATATATATAACATTTAATAAAACATATTTAATAAAACCTTTAAAAAATTTTCTCCATTTTCGGTTAAAAAATTTGTCATTAATATATTTTACTTCTCATATTAATACATCTTAATGAGTGTAATAATGGGTGTTTCTATTATATTGTACTATAATAGTTATTGCTAATACCAACTAATAATAATTCACAATAAATTATAAATTACATAATTATAAACAATTGTTTCAAGTTATGTATTTGAACATCAATATTATCTTTTTCTTTTGTATTTCATGAAAAAATTTCTTTAAAAACAATTAGTAAATTGTTTTAATAGCATAGTTAAATAACTTTAGAATCTTATAAATAATTGTTTTTAATAATATATATATATATATATAATTGCTTGCTTAGCATTTAATTTCACCTATTTAACAAAACCTCTAAAATTTTTCCTTTGTTTTCAGTTATAAAATTTATCATTAATTTTACTTCTCACATTAACACATCATATTAAGTGTAATCATGTATTTTTCTATTATATTATATAATACTGATTGCTAATACCAACTAATACTAATTCACAATAAATATAAATTACATAATTATAAACAATTGTTTCAAGTTATTTATATTAACATCAATACTATCTTTTTCTTTTGTATCTCATGAAAAAAATTTCTTTAAAAACAATTAGTAAATTGTTTTAATAGCATAATCAAACAACTTTAGAAGCTTATAAATAATTTTTTGTTAATAATAATAATAATAATAATTAAATTGTTATTATCTAGTGATAATAAACAATTATTCATAATAATAAAATCGTTAATTTATTTTTTATTAATGATCAAATTTTTGAAAATGTAATATGTCCATTATATAGAAATTAATATTAAATTCTCAAATATTACGTACTAATATTTTATGTACATATGTGCATGTGCACATGATATCTACTAGTAATATTATATTATTAGTTGAGGAAAGTCAGCCAAGAAGGATTGAAATAGGAATATAAATCGACAATATGAAAATAAAGTTATAGTATTATCCTAAACAATTGGAGTTCCCTTTTAATGTAAAGAAGATTAGAAGCGAAATGCAATTTCTTTTTCATTTTTAAAGCACTGATAAGTTCAGATTGTTGTAAATTGGGACTCTTCTGTATTCACCAAGCATCCACCAATCAACCAAACATAAAGATATGTAGTAAAGAGAACAAGAGAAGAGAAGCAGAAAAATCTATATCTTATTCATCGGTATAATTGTTCGCCTATATTTTTAAAGCTCGACCGCAAGTGTACGGCTTCGCTCGTAGTATGTGGCAAGCAAGGTCGTATCCCAAGAGACCAAACAATCAATTCATCAAGTACTAGATTATGATAGTGTCAACTTTATTTAGACGACCGAATATGAGATTGATTAACTAAACTAAGCAAATAAACCAAAAGATAACAAATCAAAAACAAGAAAACAACTAGAGAAACACTTAAGAAGAATATATGGGAATGGTAGATTCTAAGACTATGGGTTCAATTAACAGTTGGGTTCCTTCATATATATCACAATTAAGTATTTTCTTTATCTACCCTATAAGATGATCACAAAATTAGCCTATCGTCCCTCTCGAGATCGATTAAAGCGTAGATTAAATCACATATATTAGCGTCTCCACTCAACACATGCAATTCAACTCCAAATAGATTAAAGACCCAAAATCCTCACAACTATCTACTAATC